GGTCACCAATTCAGATCCAGATCATCGTCATCTGCGGCGTCAATTCAATTCCGTCTTGTGGTGATGAGGGTCCTGAATCTTTTTCGCTTTTGTCCATATCAAAAATCTCTCCAGTGATTCAGAGGGGGTGGTAACTCACCAATGATTAACCTAGGCATTGTGCGCTCAGTACCCTCGTCTAGACTGTAATTCGGTACATTAGAACTTGGCCTTGAAGTCAATGAACCGGGTCGCAAATCGTGCTGGTCACACGGCGAGAATGCTGTAGTGCGCAAGTGTCCTAGTTTCTGCCCATGGTCACGGTGGTGTACAGCATATACGAGGAAGAGGAGCGCAGAACGAAAACATCGACGAGAATCAGGCCCGCTTTGAGATGTGGAAACGTTCCTTGCAGCCATCCCGCAAAAAGCGGTGCCTTAGGGTGGGACGATATGGGTAGGGCACGAGTCACTGGTGCTTTACGGGGGAGTTGGTTACTGGTTATCGGATGAGACGGTGGTAACGTAACGTGATGGTCAGTGGACGACACTATGGAGCGATCGGCTTAGTCACCGCTACTTTTATACAGCTGTTACCGTATGTGCCTCAGGTCACAGAAATTTAATCGCTCTTGCAGAAATGCTTAGTTTGATGAGAGGATCAAATCTGCCAGACCGATTCTAATTAGTAGCCGAGGTTCGCTGAGGGCTCGAAAGGGTTTAGGCAAAATCGCTCAACAGAGCATACAATTACAACCCGTGGCGCGATCGTGTACGACATAAGAGCAAAATCTGGCAAGATGAGGAGAGCGCTGAAAAGCCCTACCATCTGTGCCAGGCTTAATAAAGCCAAGTGAGACAATGACGGACATCTGAGACCTTAGCAAAGAAGGACGCTGGACGAGCATATCACTTGGGATGTGTCCATCGGTCCATCATCGCGTGTTCCGGCCCTGGGCCTAAGGACGAGGGTAAGCATAAGGAAATCCAACTGAAAAAGCATCGACTCACTGAGAGCGCGTCTCTCAATCCTGGAGACGGTCGGTGTCGCCCTCGTTCACAGCGGGAGACTCGCCTTATGGATGGTAGCTGGGAGATGCACATTCAGGCATCCGCTTCAACGGGGTAGTGGTAACCTGGGTCGTTGCCATCTCTGAATGACGAATGGGTTGTTTATCGACCCGCCGGGGGTTCGATGCGCTCTTGATGCATACTCCAATGGTAACTTCCTTATTCTGGTATAGTACGATAACTATTTTCCACGACCAGGGACCAAATCTAGGGCTGCGCACGAAACCTCCAAGGGGGGTTCGATACCGTTTTGTACCGACCCTCCCTGGGGGGTTTCTTACCGGTACGGTTATTTACCGTTTCTTACCGGTCACATGTCTATTCACGTGACCTCGGCAGGCCGATTTTTCGAAACTGAAGCGCGCCGGCGCTGCGCTGTCGCATCGTCGTAGCTCAAATCCTAATGAATTTTGTACTGATACCAATCAGAATTATCTGGCTACATCTTCAAACTCATCCAAGTCTATGATCTCTTCTCCCCAATCCAAAGTCAACCAGGTCCTGTAATTTATCGATGTTGATAAGGATTCTGTGGATGGACCTAGATCTCGAATTCATTTACATGTTCTCTAAGGAATTGACAAGCTCGTTGTCGGAAAGAGGTGCCATGGTTTAACTCTTGCAAGTGTAAAGTGAAACGAAATTTGGCGATAATGTCATCACGTGGGCGGTAAGTTACCTAAACGAAATACCCTCCACCGACCTGTGGTATCATACCGGTAAGAAACCAGTAACTTACCGGTCCGAAACCGGGGTGTATCAAAACTAGGGGTTTTGTGCGCAACCCTAACCAAATCCACATTCAAGTTTTGAGTACGTTGACTATCAAGCGCAAGCTATATTGTGCATAACCTGGGGCTACGACAAAGTATAAGGGTAGTTTCTATGCAGCGTTCGCCCACCCCATGGTTCGAGGCCCCGAAAGAAAAGAGACTACGAGCGGCGCACTGGTTTCGGAGCTAAAAGTCGTGTGTGTATCACCGAACCAGACGGGAGGAATGAAACCGAAGAAAAAAAGCGGTGCCTCGTAACGAAAAATGTAGGAGGGACGAGCGGTTTGAGTTTAAGGTTGGTTCTGGGCTGCGCTAGCACTCTCCGATTCGATCTCGAGGTGTACGCATAAGGAAGAGGGCTCACCGATGCACGGTCGTGGATGTTGGGTCGTGGATGGATGGAGTACAGGGATCGACGCCACGAGAAAGGGTCCGCGGAAGCAAAGAGCAGGGAAATGGACCGTGCTCGCACCGCCGTTCGCTTCGTTAAGGGGAGCCTGGGTCCTCGGTATAGGCGATCTCGTTCGTGGGCGGGACTTGATCTCTGCTAGATTGGTCCCATGGAAGCAAAAAGCGGGCGGACGAGGAGTGATGTAGCGGAAGGAACTGGCACTGGCAGGACAAGGTTGGGGCTGTGGTAACAGGGAAGTAGAGCGTGCACGTACCTGGTACCGTCTCCTACAAAGGGGAAACTCCAACTACGCGACCAGAATTGGAACGTCTGTCGCTCCTGGAAATGCAAGAACAAGGTCGACCGTCAAGGAGCGTAGGTCCCAAGGTACGTGGACGGCTGAAGGAGCTGACAGGACTGGGTTGGGCGTGCGGTAACAGGGAAGTAAAGCGTCACCACGCACCTTGTACCGTCTCTTACAAAGGGCTAAACTTCTCTCCAGGCCTAACCAGTGGTCCCATCAAATGCAAGAACAAGGTCAAGGAGTACTCGTAGAAAGGAAAAGACAACAAGTCACGCATTCGCTCAAGTCACACGAGAAATGTAGTACAAGTGATGATATTCCTCTTCATAAGTAGTAATAAGTAAATGCGGGATGTACAGCATGAATGGAAAGCTAAACAACAAGACAGCAAAATCGACAACATAAAGAGACTACTGGAAGCCCGGGATCTGCTCGCCCTTTCTGAGGGGGAGACGGCTGTCCGTCCATCCGGCGGCTGTCAGATACACGCCCCACGCCGCATACAGGACCTCCCACAGCCCATCATCATCCACCCCCAATGCCACGGTATTCTTCCACAGCCCATGGATCGTCGACAGCCCACCCAGGAGCTTGTGCTGCGTGAAATCCTTCGCGAGCGACTCTGCGAGCGCGAGGAGCTGCCCGTGCATGTCGCCGGCGGTTTTCGGGGACGACGAGAGGTGCGCGGTCGCGGGGAAGGGGTTGGCCGGGAGCGAGCCCGGCGGGACGAGGGACGCGAGGAGGAGGTCCTGGCGGTGGGTGTACATGTACTGGCTGAGGAGCGCGTAGCTCTGCGGGGCGGGCAGGCAGAGCGGGTGCACGGGGATGTCCGTGCCCGCGGGGGACGCCTGGATGGCCTTGGGGAGCGTGGCGCAATGCACGGCGAGGATGTCGTGGTGCGCGGGGTGCAGCGTCACTTTGGTCGAGTTCTCGGCAAAGACGCCGAGGAAGTACGAGGGGCCCTCGGCGGGTGCGTGCGCGGGGAGGGACACGGGGAACGTGGCGGGGATGGGGGTGTCCTTGGGCGGGGTGCTGGGCGCGAGGAGGGAGAGCGTGTAGAAGAGGCGCACGCCAAAGTCGCGCACGATGGCGTCCCGGGCGAAGAGCGTCGCGGCGTCGGGGAGGCCGATGGCGAACTTGCTGAGCGTGGGCACGAGCTGGACGGTGATGAGCGCCTCGCGGGACGCGCGGTACGTCTTGACGTCGAACACGATGTGCCCGGGCTTCGCGACGGCGCGCTTCCGCTTGTGGGCGGGCGCGGAGAGGGCCTTGGCCGCGGCGGCGTGCTTGGCGGCGGAGGATGACGGACGGCGGACGGGGATGTTCTCAGCGTTCGAGGCGTTGCGTTTTCCGATCATTGTAGGCTGGCGGGCTTTTCTGGGATTGCAGCGTCCGCCTGGGGATTATATACTCGTCCACACACACCAATCGCGTACTCCAACCAATTCACTAATTACCATTCCTGGATTGTTTGTCCTTGTGCGTCCCTCATCACTTTACATACGAGGCAATTTGAGAGCACCAATTCCAGGGTCGCCTGATGTCCTATTGTGTGCACCAATTCCGACCTTGAGCTTCCATTCTCGATATGTACTTTCACTTGTCTCACGCAGGACAATGAATATTTGCCATTTGCTTCCGCTGAATGCCTTTGTCGATCCTTGCACAGACAGGGCCCAGCTCGTGTTGCTTCATCCTCCCTAATTTAGGGCACAGGGTTCCTTTATTCCAGCAGTAGCGAGGTCTTTCCAGAAGGAGGAGGTGTAGGCACTGCTCATCCACCGCCACACCCATTCACGAGGCGCCTTTGACTCTGCCTTTCAAGGCTCGACAACGACAACGACGACCACTGTCGCTCGAATCACCTACCCCAGCGACGTGGACCCGATCCTCGCACACACCATGACGAGGGCCCCACACAGTCAGAAGACTCCATTCACACCGCAGCCTCCCCCACCTCGCTCTATACGGGTCGCCCTTACCGCCATACGCTTCGCTCCCCATCCTGCCCCGCCGTTAACGGACGTCTCCTCCGCGACCCCAGCGTCGGACGCCACACCTTTTATTTCCACTCAACGCCCGCGTCGTACTGTCGTTTATTCTAATTTTGCATTTACGAATAGAGAGTAGTCGTTCCAACTGCAATCTTCAATCTTCGTTGTTAGCGTTTAGCGCCAGAAAGGAGAATTTTCGCAAGAACAGCGGTGCATCGATGCGGGTTCGCTCCCTCACCGAGTATCGGAACGTACAAAGTACACCTGTCTTACGCACCGCCCCGCAAAAGAAATATCAATCTCGTAATCTTCACAATTATATACCTTGTCCGACCCCGCCCCGAAGTTGGAGCTCTCAGCGTTGTCTGAACTCTTTCCTCGTCTTCGTCTCGTATGATGGAGAATAAGCACGTTCGAGTTGAGCAATGAGTGACGCACTAATATTCATGGCATTTAAAATAAAATAAACCTACAACAAATAATATTCAGTGCATCAAGGGGGAATTGAACCCCCGGCGGGTCGATATCAAGTTGACAGCTTGGCACATGGCAACGACCCAGGTTACCACTACCCCATTGATGCAGACATGCTGTAATTCCTCTTTGCTGTCCAGTGCTCACTCTCACCCTAACCCGACTGTGGGAACATACGTACGCCTGCTCTCGTGTGGGCCCCCTCGCAACAGCACTCTTTACACTCAAGAAAAGCTGACATGTACTACTCATGATATATGGACAAAAGAGCAACATCATCACTCGTACTAAATTTCTCGTCCGATTCGAGCTCGACTTATCGATCCCCCGACGGGTCGACCAAAGCGTGACTTGTTGTCTCTTCCTTTCTTTCACACGAGTGCTCCTCGACTTTGTTCTTGCACTTCCAGGAGCGACAGACGGGACTAGTGGTCAGAAGGTTACCCCTTTGTAGGAGACGGTACAAGGTTCTACTTCCCTGTTACCGCAGCCCCAGCCAGTTCCTTCAACCGTACCTTTGCACCAACCTAGCACAGACCAAGTCCCGCCCACGACTATACCGAGGACCCAGGCTCCACTTGAACGAAGGTGCGCGCACGGTCCATTTCCCTCCTCTTTGCTTCCGCGGCCCCTTTCTCGTCGCGTCGCGTCGATCCCATCCATCCACAACCCAGCATCCAGGACCGTACGTCGAACCCTCTCCTTATGCGCAGCCCAGAGCCCACAGGACAAAGCTCACCTTGACCTCAAACCGCTCGCCCCTCCCATGGCACGAGGCACCGCTTTTTCTTTCGTTCGCTTCCTCCCGAGCCTAAAAGCGGTGGGTCTGGTTTGCTTCCGCGGGTCCCTTCTCGTGGCGTCGATCCCTGTACCCCATCCAACCCACGACCTACCATCCAGGACCGTACGTCGATGAACCCTCTCCGTATGCGTACACCTCGAGATCGAATCGGAGAGTGCTACCAGCACACGCAGCACAGAACCCACGAGACAAGGCCCACCTTGACCTCAAACCGCTCGTCCCTCCCACACGAGGCGCCGCTTTTTTTCTTTAGTTTCATTCCTCCCGTCTAGTTCGCATGAGTTTTAGCTCCAACCACCCCCCCATGTCCAGTAGTCTCTTTCTTTCGAGGCCTCGAACCACGGGGTAGGCGAACGCCGCATAGAAATTATCCTTATACTCTGTCGTAGCCCCACTGGCAGGTTATGCACAATATAGCTCGCGCTTGATATTCCACGTACTCAACACTTGAATGTGGATGAGTACGTGGACTTGGACCTTGCCCTGTAGGGTTGCGCGTGAAACTCCCAGTTTTTATACACCCCAGTTGTCCCATCCCGCGTTTTGATATAATGGAGGCAGATCAAGCCCTGCTCGCGGCGTTCAGGGTTCTCGAGACTCGGGGCGATCAGGCTCGTGTCTGGATATAACGCTGAGGAAGTTATTCATCCAGACCGATCTCACTACTGTACCTCTAACAGTTCTCGGAATGCACCCCCGAGCGTAGGGTCCTAGACAACTTGATGAGTAGCACCTACTTGTACGTTCCAACTACCATCTTTTGTTAGCGTTTAGAAAGGGGAATTTCCGCAAGAACAGCGGTGTATCAACGAAGGTTTGAACCCTCACGGAGTATCGGAATGTACAAAGTACACCTGTCTTACGTACCGCCCCACAAGAGAAATATTAATCTCATAATCTTCACAATATTAATATACCTTTTCCGCCTCCGCCCCCAAAAGTGGGATCTCTCAGCGTTGTCTATATATGTATTATGGAGAATAAACACGTTCGAGTTGAGTAATGAGTGACGCACTAATGTTCAAGGCATTTAAAAAAACAAAACTCGAGACCGGACGGTAGAGTGCATCAAGGGGGAATTGAACCCCCGGCGGGTCGACACATTGTGAGAGAAAATGTATGGCAACAACCCAGGTTACCACTACCCCATTGATGCAGATGCACAGTAGCTCCTCTTTGCTGTCTTCACCCAATAGCCTAGCCATCCACCCATTGATGCTCACTCTCACTCTCACCCTACCCCGACTTTGGGAGCATACGTACGCCTGCTCTCTGGCAGTCCCCCGTTTCGCTTCTGTCGCAACAGCACTCCCTCGAACCGACATGCAAGGTCCTAGATAGGGGGTTATCCCGTCTGCCACGTGAAGGTGTGTATCCCTCGATCGTACGACGATGTGTACACTGGGGTTTCTCCCCAGCTTGGACGAGGATTATCATGGGCTGCGCTGGATTCTCCATGCGACCTTGCCCACGTCGTCGCTACTCGGATTGGAGTCTACCCCGCACATTGGTCCCGTCGGAATCAATCGCGACCCTACGCTTCAGAGAACACACAGCGAGACCCTACCACGATTTACTCCCGCGTATCCTGTTTTTCTTTCGGCGTCCGAGTCGAGCCGTCATCCTACTCGTGAAGTAGTGGGATCCAGCACCTTCAAGATGAGATGGATATAGGGTGCGTACGACCAATCGCTTCTTCTCTGTCATGACACTGGCAGACACGTTGTGCTTCCGCAGAACCAATCTCGGCTGCCGCTCTCTGATCTAAACGTTGCGACGCGGTAGAGGAGTTACACCAACGGCGACGACGTTTCTGTATAGACATGTATAAGGCGCGCAGAAACCTTTCTGGATGTCCTTCTGAGCCTAACATCGATCGCAGCACTGGTATCTGAATCCGGGACCAAGCGCCCATCTTCTCGTTTCTCTAAAATGTTATAAAGATAGAAGATTCTTGTACAGTGTCGGAATGTACATTGTAGTAGAGGAACAAAAGTAAAGTCAAAGACAGCGTCGAGAAAAAATACACGGAAGAACAAAATAAAACAAATTTAAACCATTAGTCTGCCCAATTTCACCGAGTCGGTTCTGGGTGACCGTCCAATCCGACTCTCATCCAACTAATTGAGACCATCATCTTCGGGCCTTCGGAGAGCCCTGTTAACGACCACACAACAAGCCCGAATGACCTCGTGGAAACCCCTATCGGTGATGCGGAGCGCGTTTTGTACGTGCAAGAACCCTTTAACGTGGACCTCGAGCCGCTCAAGGTCTGCCAATGGCATCCGCCTAAGACAGAGGGCACCGCGTTCGAGGGTGTCATCAACAAGAACCGTCGGAGGATCAGCCGTCTTGCGCGCTCCAGCGCGAAACGGTCGCCAGTACGGAGAAAACACGCTAGCGTGGCCGAGGACAGCGTGAAAAAGGTTTGCTTGATCGTGGTTGAGGAGGTACACCAGGGTGAAATAGATATTGGACCGAGAGATGGTGCCTTGGACAACGTATTCCATGACGGGGAGGAGTTCTCCGGCTGTGAGCGGGGCGGGCGGGGGAAGGAGCGGGGTGATCAGGCAGTTCATCGCGAGCCAGGACAGCTTGGCCCCGACGATGAATCCCACGCCCCGAGCGTCCGTCAACGCAATGGCAAGGTCCATCCCGCGCACGGCCAAGTTGGCGATCAACGCAGAGAAATACTCCTCGTGCCAGGTTAGGCTGTTGCTCAGGACCTGGTTATTGAACACCGGCAGAAATTGTGCGCCCGCGGAGTTGATGCTGTCGCGTATCCTGGGTGGTAGAATGGGTGAGCGTTGCACTAAGATCGTGGTCCAGGGGAGCCAGTCGTCATTGATTTGAGCTATGGCGAAGCCTGGCGCAGTGGGGGGCTGGTAGGGCATTGGAGAGAATAGGACAAAGGTGTACTGTGGGAGCCAACTCACCGAATGCCCTCATTTAAATACTGCACGACACACTTGGTGGCATTCTTCGCGATATTGGCTAATGCTCTCCTGCGCATCGAGAGCCTGTGCCATTGACTTGTCGGACCGAGACACGGACCCTTCATTCAAGAAATTGCGTCACTCGGGAATTGCCTGGTTTGTTAGGAATTTAATATTGGAATACTACACTTATTTATTGATGAACGAATTATTTTTTTGAGTAGCTCAAAAGTGGGCAGCCGAGCGGGATCCCGGCAGACACATGAACTTGATTCCCTTGAAGAGTGTGTCCAGGGTACGGGTTTGGGGCTGCTGAGGAGTATGTGCGACCGTTGGCATTGCCTACTCTGAATCCGAGGCACAGGAAACGCGCGAAGAGACGCTGAAGACATGCTACCGGCACCGGAAGGAGTATTAGAAAAACTACAGGAAGATAATTGGTAGAAATTAAACATTACTTTTATTCCAAGATGGTTATATTTCTTCTCCGGGAGACGGCCCAGACATACGTATGGGGGTATCTGAGCCAGACTTGCCAGATCCCAGATGAAAGGATGGTGGGATGGATGCGATCGTTCTATTTGCACATGTTTGCATCCCATCTCAATCTCGATCACGTGTGCAGATATATTCCGTCTTGCTCGACGTATATCTCGTGTCAGAACTCATATTACGCATATTTTTGGAGCCAGTCCTATTTCTATTTAATGTGCAGAGATATTCTGATAATCTTTGCAATATTGTAGTACTATTTGATGCCTCTATCATGGAAACGGTGTTTTGTTGTGCTCAGATCAAGTTGGACCCAGCCAATCTACGATGGCACTTCTTTTACGATATTCTAGACCATTGAGGCCTACCTCAATGTCAAAGACAGGATCTATCTCCATTCTCCCTCCAATTTCCCAATTCTGAACAAAGGACCAGCACCTTGCAACCAGTCTTTATACCTTATCGAGGTGTATTTTGGAACTTTAACTTATGAGCAGCCTTTTTGAGACTGATCCGCCTGCTTCGTCCCTGGATTTTTGTTCCAAGATGAATGTCGGCTGCTCTTTTGAGTGTAATTAAGCATAGCCCAGCAACCCAGCTGGGTGGTAAGGTCAAATTGTGTGCTCAAATCGGCTCTGTATTTAGCACGGACTGCAATGATGCACTGGTTGTCTTGCTAGTGCATTGTCCGTTCATCTTTGAAGTGCCATGCCAGTGTTTTCGTGTTTTGCATTAGCGGTGGGAGTGCCATTGTAGCTGGACTGGATCCCTGCCACATCCCTGTTAACTTAGGAAAAGACTTTGACACTTCATAATGGACCATCTTATCTTATCTTGAATGTTTAACTTCAGTTGAACCAGTGTACCTTTGAACAGATTCATCACCGTCAGCACCTAAGTAGCGATGCTATGTCCTATTTTCCTCAATAAAAACCATCCTTTGATCCTACGTCTTTCAGATTCAGGATATACATTCAGCTAGTTAGAAATTTATCTGTGAAGTTTCATTCAAACACCTTCTCACCAGGAATTCAACGTGCCCATCAAGAATGTGACAGTATCGAGCATGAACATAGTATTTGAACGTGTGTCATATCTACTCGATGCTGTAGCATCGATCATGTAGTCAAGGTGTGCACACTTCAAAATGCTGGTGAACTTAGCGTTGTTTTTCCATAGTTCTACCTTAAGATCGCATTCCATCCTCTATCATTCCAAACAAAGGAGAGACGTATGCGACGATGCTTGTACCACCAAAACTACATCGTGGAACCGAGGGTCTGATAAAAATACTGAACGGTGTCGACATAGGGACTTTATGGTAAAAGAGATCGAGAAGCGTCTATCAACATTTTGCAACCAATGATTGTTTTCTCTAAATGACATCATAGGTGGGTTCACAGAGATACTATCCCATGGACAACCCATCTAGATAAATAATAGTTGGGCAAGCTATATCAGCATCAGTTACATTAACTTGCGATGATACCTGGTCTTCCCCTCCCCCAGTCATCCTGACCTTGGTCTACTACCAAACCTACTGTCTCTATCTGTCTTCCTCTTCTTAGGCAGCAATTAATCCCACACACCGAGTATGGCTCTGATAAAGTGATATGTACTGAGCTGATGATAAAAACAATACCATTCACAGTCTGGAAGATGCTCCTGACCATGGTGTTGCATGACCTTGATGGCTTTCATTGATGCATGTAGGCTTCACACCATATATCCATGTTAGGAGGCTAATTCCATGACTGTCGATATCACTCTGCTATTTGGGTATTATGAAAGATGGTCACCATACCATGAAAGATATGGCCATAGATGAGACGGTCAGTGACGGGTGCAGATGGTCCTGTAACAGTACCGTACAAGTTCAATGAACCATAGGAACAGTTCCAATGGGTACATATACAGTTGGCACTATTCTAATTTTCCATTTACGGATAGAGAGTACCTGCTTGTACGTTCCAACTGCAATCTTCAGCCTTCATTGTTAGCGTTTAGAAAGGAGAATTTTGGCAAGAACAGCGGTGCATTGAAGAGGGTTCGAACCCTCACCAAGTATCGGAATGTACAAAGTCCACCTATCTTACGCACCGCCCGCAAAAGAAATAATCTCGTAATCTTCACAATTATATACCTTTTCCGCCTCCACCCCCAAAAGTTGGATCTCTCAGCGTTGTCTATATATGTATTATGGAGAATAAACACGTTCGAGTTGAGCAATGAGTGACGCACTAATGTTCAAGGCATTTAAAAAAACACAACACAACTGCCAGAAAGTAGAGTGCATCAAGGGGGAATTGAACCCCCGGCGGGTCGATATGACTTTGACGCTCACCACATGGCAACGACCCAGGTTACCACTACCCCATTGATGCAGACGCACTGCAGCTCCTCTTTGCTTTCCCGTGCTCACCCTCACCCAATAGCCTAGCCATCCGCCCATTGATGCTCACTCTCACCCTACCCCGACTTTGGGAGCATACGTACGCCTGCTCTCTGGCAGTCCCCCGTTGCGCTTCTGTCGCAACAGCACTCCCTCGAACCAAGAAAGGCCGACATGCAGGTCCTAGATAGAGGGTTATCCCGTCTGCCGCGTGATAATAATCTGAAGCTGTGTATCCCTCGATCGTACGACGACTGGGACTCTGTTGGGTTTCTCCCCAGCTTGGACGAGGATTATCATGGGTCACGCTGGATTCTCCATGCGACCAGTGTCCTG